AGCGTGTGTAAAATACTGTGGAAGACTTTATTTTCGATTGGAAATTAATTTTCGCTATTTTTGCTGAACGAATGTTTCAGTGAAAATAAAATCCAGCGAATATACCTTTTTTCCTGTATTTTACATTAGACTTGTCCAAAAATCAGTGAAAATAAATTTCATACAAAACACCAAAAAAAGTCTATTCAGCAAAAATTAAATCCAGCTAAAATACAATTTTACAGTACATGTATATCAATTCGAATATTTTCTGTGACAAACATTATTTTTTATTAGTTTTCAGATTATGGCCGAGCAGATATTACATGTACAACCAAGTGATAAACAATATGATGATATCATTTGTTCACCTTACCTTGTTTTTATAATAATCTGTGTTTATTTTTTGTAAATTTTCTAACATTCTGTCACATTCTTTCTCATCTGTTATCTGAAATAAACATAAAAAATAATAAATTACAGTAAACTGTTACCGGTATTATTGTTGCATTTGCAAAATTATCACACATAAGGATGGGGGCGGGTCGTACGTTGTTTGTGTTTGGGAGGGGGGTTATTTATGCATTTGTATCACTTATCGATCACATCCTAGTTGTGCATTTAATGCTTTTCCATCATCATGCTTGCATCATTTAACCACCAGAGTAGCAATCTAAACTTACTCCAAGAAAACAAAAACATCGCCATCTAACTTCGACAACCACCATTACACAGTAGGATTATTCTTTAATGAAATAATTTAATAAAAATATTAAATTACTATGGCTGGCAAGTCTATTGGGTTACCCGGTGTGCACCACGAAAACTTGCATATAATTTCACATCGCAATACATGGGTTAGGCAATATTCATACTGTGTGTTATGTCATAAATAAACACAATTTTAAAACATTGACACAAATTCATATTCTTGGTCTAAGAACTATCTGCAGTATTTTATTCACGCTGTTAAAGCGAGAATTGAGTCCCAAGCAATGATAACAACACAGAACTCAAGCTAAGAACGCTAACGCTAAGAACGCAAATGCTCATGGGTAGACGCTTGTTTGTAAACAATGACACGCTACGGCCATCTGACGCATGCGCAAGTGACGACTACCCCCTCCCCCCCCGCTTTAATATTAATATAAATCATACACAGAGCTCCAGAAAGGTTGGCGATAGAGGGCGCAGTATAAAAGCTGTATATTCTAATGTTAATTTTTGCAAGACGGTGTTTTTTTTTAGCTGTAACTATAAGAGTACAGTCAATATTTGTACTAATGAAGGTAAAATAATTCATTGACAATTGTTACTAGACAGTGGCAGAGCTCAAGATTTCAATACGAGCGAGACATGCAAATGTACGGACGACACTGACAACGTGGTGTCACGAACTCTGTTACCTTTGTGTGCTCGCCATGCTTGAACGCTATCGCCACTCTATCACGTATATGTTTCCCCAGATCACGGCCTCGTTTCGTCTCGTCCAGTGGCCACTCTTGACAAAGACGCAGAAACTTTCGGTATCTGCTCGCCGCCATGATGCTAAAGAACGAGCTACGTTGAGGGCGCTATACAATTCCACTTGGTTCAGTCCGCTGATAGTCGAACACTTACAGAAAGTACAAGCACGGTTACAGGGCTCATACCACTAATTGAATTTCCATAGACGACAATGTTAACATATGACGAGATTGCTATATGAAAATGACGAAGAAAGTTGAAAATATGGCTCAAAAATGGGAAATCAACATGCCAGTAATCAACCATATGAAAAAAACTAATATGTTGGCCAGCTCAAACTCTTGCAAATCTCAGGTAAACAAGACACACCTACTGTATTTGAATTGCACCAAGAGAAATCACTGGAAAAACACCAAGATTAGAACATCCATTAACACACAGAATAAACCCACAGGTACACAGCCGCTAAGTAGTAAACAAAAGACCACATGTTGGTCTCACCTCTGACCCAGGTGATTACGCCCTCAAACAGGGAGCACCTGAGAAAAATAATATTTAAAAAATTTCATTGGTTCTTGCTGGGCATTTAAATTGAGGGGCTACGAGCAGCCATTGGTTAGTTAGTGGCATGAGACCTACACAGTCAGCTGGCGCACACGTGATAATAAAATAAATACGATATTTATTACATGGGGGCCGCCATCTTGAATGACGCATAAAACTAAATAAGAGACAAGTTGTGAAACGCGTTTTTCAGATTCCTACAAATCAGGACAAAAATACCAATCTTTCACAAAAATACGACCCATTGGGGTTATATTAAACACTTTCCTGGGGTATTTAAAACTAAAAATTTGCATTCCAGCTCAGCAGCCAATCAGCGACGGCCTAACGCTTAGATGACAATTTCGGTTTCAAATACCCCGGCTTAGTGTTCTAGGTTCTTCGCGTAATTAGGTGTTCGTATGCAAGGGATTTTTCCCCACAAAAACGACGAATTAGGCCGAATTTTGTTATCGGTTGGCTTAATATAACCCCAACGGACCGTATTTTTGTGAAAGATTG